TTTTTTATTGCAGTGATTTTTATAAGTCTTACTGATCTTAATAGTTTGATCTTTTTTTTTCAATTATCTCGTATTTCATTCTCACTTGCTTTTATAGTAGCTACAGGTATACCAGTTACAGATTGTTCTACGGACTGGTGTCTACTATTTCATTTACAAGTACATGACTTTTCTACTCCAAAATTCTGTTCTAAATGACTTAAATCACGAATAGCTACAGGTATACCAGTTACAGATTGTTCTACGGACTGGTGTTTACTATTTCATTTGCAAGTACATGACTTTTCTACTCCAAAATTATGTTCTAAATGACTTAAATCATGAATAGCTACAGGTATACCAGTTACAGATTGTTCTACGGACTGGTGTTTTACTATTTCATTTGCAAGTACATGACTTTTCTACTCCAAAATTCTGTTCTAAGAAGACTTAAATCATGAATAATTTTAAACTGCTGTCAAAACGTTTTTTTTAAAATGATTTTTATGTATTTTAACAGATACAATAATTTTATTTATTGTTATTGCAAAATAACTAACGTTATTTTTTTTACATTTTTATTGCGGCCGATTTTGGAATGACGATTACAAAGAAGGTATAACTTTAATCTTATGATCACGTTTTAAGAAGATATTTGTAGCAACTGTTTATAATACAAGTAGTTATAAAACTTGCTGTTATCTTACCAGATTACTAGAGAGTCATGTTTGCCATCGAACTTCGTTTTAATTACGAGAGTCTAACTGAAACCTAATGTAACAAATGTCTTTGAATGCAAACATTTGAGATTGAAGAGAGGTCTCAATAATTCCGAACACGTATTTAAAAATGGAAGCGGCTTAGTGTGGAATAACAAGATATATTCTAATCTTACCAAATATAACGACAATGAACGAATCATACCATATACGAACGGTTTGTATAGAAAAATGTAATTTTTAGTAGATTGTAAGTGAAGAGAAGACAACTGAAAAGACTTAACTCAAAAAGGGTTTCAGATTCGATGACGAGGAACCCACTTTGAGACTAATAATGGCTGGAGACGGCTTGAATGGGTAATGA